TGGTGCCGGGGAGATAGAGCTGAAGTACGACGCTCGTAACTCCTACGTTCCCGCCTCGCGGTGGATGTGTCTGCCCAGCTGCTGCCCGCAGGAGAAGGCCTCAGGCCCGCAAGTTTCTGCTTATCCTTTGCTAGGAGTGCAGGCATTTCCGTATTATTTTCATATTTTCATCCACGTATCTCTCTCTCCTTCAAAAAAAAAAGTATGGAAAGCTTTAAATCTGTAAAGGCTGGTTCAGTGTATTTAAACCTTTGAGTTTGTGCATAACTACCCCCTGGGTAGCAGCTCCGAGGCGTGGTGGTGGCAGCGTAGCTCACCACACTTAGGGAGTAAATACATCTGCTTGCTGCTGTTTCATGCAAGCTGCACTGCCAGGCAAAGGTGTTTTATGCTCGGCGTCCCTGAATGGACACCCAGGGGGATGGGTAGTTTGATTTCTTTTCTCTTGAGTGCGAGTTCACAGGTGTGTCCCACTGTCCTGTGGTGTGGCTCACTCGTGCAAACACAGGCTTTCACTGAGGCTGCCTGGTTTGCGGGAATCTCTTGGCTGCAGGGGCACCATGGCTACTTTAGCACTCAGCAGCTCTTCTGCAAGTAGCGAAATGTTCCTGGAAACCTCTGCCCGAGCTCACCCTTTTTATGGAGTTTCTTTAGACTCTGAGAAACTAAGAACTGATAGAGTGAAGCTGGTATTTGTGTGGCAGAGTTGGGGACTTCCATACAGGTGGGACAAAAGAGTATTCACCACTGCCTGCTTGAGTGTGATTTCCATTGTTGCAAGAAAGAAATGATACAGAAATTCATTCACTTTTCACTTGTTGCATGAAATAGAGGTACTGCAGTACACAGACATAGTACTGTGTAAGGAGTGAATATTATATAAAAGGGGTTTTTTAACATCTTAAAAAATATATCAGCTATCCTAAGTATTTAATAAATACTGTCACAACAATGTAGGAAACAATAAAAATAATGAGCTCTGACCTTTATCAATATTTTTACTCCCTTATGGTGCACCTGCATGGTGTTACCAGTCCCGACCGGTTTGCTGGATGCCATTCAGGGTGCGCTGTTCTCCACCTGTATTGCTGTCAGTCTTAAGCATGGCCAAAATCCAAGTGAGAGATCTGAGGCCTAATCCTTCAAACCTTCCTTGCATAAGGTGTCTCATTTGTTTTGTGTAAATAAACACACTTACTTGTGTAAGTAAAATTTGCTTACTGGAACATGTACCAGCCCATGGCAACATTTGCCACCACAGAACAAACTGCTGTTATTTCAAATGGGAGCAGTATTGGGTCCTAACCCCGGGGCAGGAAGGTTCACATCCAGCTAATCCTGGCTGCTAGAAGCTTATTTTTAGTTCAGAATTAGCTGAGGTTCAGTGTGAGCAGCGTGAGGGAGTGTAGACCGGTTCACAGTGCCTCTTTCAGGGAACAGCTCCAAATGATATGGGAAAGAAACAAGTGGTAAGTTTGTGGATCCTCAAGTCTTAGCAGTCTTACAGCCTTTTTTATTTCTGATATCAACTGGATTTTTGGAGCATGGGAAATATTTATTCGTGTATACTCTTCCAATATAATTGCGTAATTCAAAATCTCAAAATAAACTCCCTGTTTTCTAGATGAGAGAAACTGCAGGAGCTCAGTTTCAGATGGTTAACAGGAGATACTTATTTTTGAATTCTAGTTGTGTTTGATTGCCTGGTAAATATTTTCAAAATTATATGAATACTAATGTTTTATCATGTTTAAAAGTCTTTTTCATAAATAAGCTTATTTTCTTTCATTGTTTTTACGATTGTTCTGAATTTACAACTTCATTAATAGAAAATACACAGCTCATGCTGTATACTGTGCAAGCATATTGAATGCACAAATTATAGCAGTATTTTGATATTTAAATAGAATGACTGATAAGCTTTCCAAAGCAAGCAGTACCTTACATGAAAAGTGAAAAATTATTCAAGTGAAGTTGAAATGCAAGCTGCACCTCGCACACAGCTGTTAGGTACATGTCCCTAGTGCAGTGCCCATCAGAACTCTGGAAAAGGCGTAGTATTCCTGCGTATTTTACATATTACCTTTATGTAACATCTCTGTTGGGGGTCTCTAGCTATTTAAGAGGCATACAAAGCAAAACATACTTAGTGTGTTCTGACCCTATCTAGAAGTAGCTGTTTTCTGAGAGGCAGCTTCACGCCGACAGAAGTTGACTTTGTCTCTCCCTTGCCTTTCAGTGCCCACCTCGTGCCCTCCCTCCAGTGCCAAGGTAAAATCAGTTCATTCTGTGGAATTGTTCATGGTTCTGTACAGTGGTGTTTATAAAAGTAATGAAATTAAGAGAAATAAGTTTATGAAACATGTAAGTAGTCATAATGGTTTTAAAAATAATTGCTTTTCTTTGCAAATTTGTTGTCCCAGAACCACTTACAAGAATTACAGAGCATTCTAAAGCTTGTTACAGAGGCCTGTATTATCTCAGTTTTACTACTAAACCCTTTAAAAAGTTTCAAACACATAGCTACTTTAGCTTTATTAACATCTATTTAGTTTTATTGATATCCTTCTTTTCAATCTCTTCCTTCCCTCTGTGTTGTGTTTTGTGTTCTTTAATTTATTTAAATCACAAATCCTTCAGGTATTTCTGAAATTAGACTAGATATTCTTGAACAGGGTCTACTAGTTTGACATAGTATAGGGAAAATATAGGCTTTTTTCAGTTTGGAAGGAAAAGCAATTACATAGTTTTCATGATGTGGTGTTTCAGAATTCCTTCAAAGTACCTAAAAGCAAATGTGATGTTCATGATTGACGACATATAAAGATAGTGTCTTTTTATAGAGTAATGTTTCATAACTTTTGTTGGTTTGTTATGTATCAGGCAATAAGACAAGTTGTAATTAGCCAGGTGATTAAAGCTTTTAATCTGATCCTTAGGTAGCCAATCAAGAAACTGTGTGTAGTCACGAACAAGATGTTGAGTCTTGACAATTGCTTTGTACCCTTAGCCTTGTTGTACATAACTGCTCATAAAGAGAACTAGGAGTGGGGATAAGGAAATGAATCACAAAAGCAGCAGTGTGAATTTTACTGCTGCAAATTGTAACTGATTCAAAATTAACTTTCTCTTCATCTTTGTTCTTTTTACGCGGCTCTTCAACATATTTTCTCCTTAAATGTGAAGTGGAAACCAAGGTGAGTTATTCTGGTATTAAAGAGAATTATAAACGTTGGTAGTTCCTTTTGGTGTCACTACATCCTCTCTTTAAAGACAGAGCCTTATACTTTTCCTGAATGCAGGCTGATTATTTAAACTGCACGGATACCTGTGCTGCCTTTACTAGAACTGTCTGTTGTTTTTCTTTGTTCTCTTTACTGTTCACTACTTCCATACGAAATCAGGGTAACTGAAATGTTGTCACTGTGCTCTAAACAAGAAGTTTATTCTTCAGAGCACTATCCAGAGTATTTCAGTTTTTCGCTTAATGCACGTGCATGTTTGTACATAGCCTTTGTTACACTTAAAACAGATCTCTTCTTCTGTTTTCCTGCCACCTTCTGTACTTCTCCTGCTTGTGTGAACTGGTGAATTGCCATCTTACCCATAAAAGGTGAAGGATGTCTTCACTTGTAAAAAGGAATCCCTTTCTTAACTAGCAACAGAATGGGTGTTAAAAATAGGAAATGGAGGTTTCTCCATGCTGTGTACCTATACTTCTGTTTTATCTTCTGCAGATGAAATTCCACTCAGTCGTCCCAAGAAAAGGAAACCCAAAGGAAAGACTCCGTTAGGTAAAGTCCTGCCAAAACTGAAATCTGTGTTTGTAATCCTGGGTGAGAGCTGCGCTGTAGCCAAGCTCCTGACAGATACACGGTTTTCAGTCTTGTATTCTATTTTTGAGTAGTATTCTCAGGTAATTTATTACAATTTATTTTATGTTGAACAACTGCAATCTGCCTCCCCAAAGTGGTGTCATTTTGAAACAAGTTTGTAGTGCTAACTGAAGTGACCTGTTCCATCCTCTGCTCTTTCTCCCAGG